CGCGGGCTGGGTTGCGACTCTCAGCATCCGCGCTCACTCCCGATGCCGCTCCGGAGCCTTTAAAAAGGCTCTTTCGCGATACCGGGGGGCGCGAAGGTGCCCACCGAGTCTCCTTGCTCACAGGCTTCTGCGCCTGTGATTTTAGGGGTCCCCCGCTCGCCGTAGTGGGTCAGACCCGAACCCACGGAGCAGTCCTGCCTCGGAGCTCGAGGCAAGGACCGCCATTAAGCGCTGGCGCCGACTGGAAGTAGCTTCCTCCGTGGATTTGACTCCAACCTCCATGCATCCTGCAATGTACATGTTAAGGTTCTGATCCTTGTGGAAAATTTGGAACTGGGAAAGTTTTGGTTTGATGGGGTCGAAGGGGCCTTCATCCAAAAAGTCATAGATGTAGTTGTTATAGATCTCAATGTTGGAGACAAACACACTGTAAACATTATTTTCATCAACTTCTACTTTGCAGTTGTCTTGGACATTGATCATATCAGTTATTTCAGGGTCAATTTGCCACCAGTTGCTAGATGGAGTTTTTGGAGTCTGAAAAGCTTCTAGTTTCTGACGTTCAAGTAAAGCATCAACATCACACTGCACCTCAATCCCATTCCTATCATCCAGCTTGAACACATATTGTTTGGCCTGCAGAGATCCTATGCTGTTGAAGATCATGTCTAAGCAGCAAGGAAGCAGGCCACCGCCACCAGGAGAACCAGTCATGGTGTGGGTTTTCCCACTTCCAGTATGTAAAAGGGAGACCATTTCCCCCATGAATCAGATCATCCGCTAGAGGTTTAGCAACGTCAAACACATGTCTCTGAGACCCGCCAACATTAAAAACCTCTTTGAATTAATATTGAACCTCCTCATACATACTCCCCATTGCGGAAAATTCGGTATCCATCTGGTGGGTGAACCTTGACTGTTGTAGTATTGATCACTTTTATGCAGCATTCTTGGTCTGGCACACTGACTAGGCGCAGCCTGCAGTATACCCCAATAAGGTCCTTCAGACTTCCTGTATCCATTTTTCTGCCCAGGCTTCCTTGAGGTTTTGGTTTTTGCGGCCTCCATCCCACCGAGGCCGCCCCACTCGTCTTTCCTTGCTGTCCTCTTGGTGAAGGTTCGATTTGAACGTTCCCTCCCTACTCTGGCTTTCCTGAGATCGTATAAATCTTTCAGATCATGTGTGTGATTCAAGACGAGTTGTTTTTAAAGTGGTTGATACACAACAATATAGCAGCCTGAGTCAAGATGCTTATACTGTCAGAGTGAAAGAAGTGCAAGAAAGGATATTCCCACCTTGAGTTGTGAGCTGGCTTTAGCATGAAGATCCTGGCCTGTATCAAGCCCAGGTTCCTCATTACATCTTAACTGGGGAGCTAATGTCAAGTCAACAAACCAGGAAAATGAAACAAGATCATATTCGGATTTATGAAACTTCAAACAATCATCCAAACCAGGCTGCCATGTTTGTTTGTTTGTTTGTTTAATTTTACCCTCATGTGTGCTGGTAACACCTCCCCTCCCTCAATCAGTGGGTCTGCACAGGTGTAACTAAAGCTTGATTTTGGACTGTGTTCTCTCTGCGAAAATCTCATACTTAATCCTCTGGAATCTAAATCTTTGCTAAATATAGATTTTGGAGGAATAGAGTAGTGGTTGCTTCTACATGCAGATGACAGGAAATGGCATTATCTGCTAAGATGGCTGATATGGTGATTAGTTTTAGCAATAGCATAAGTTTAAAGGATTCCTTCCAAAATTTGTATGAGAATATACAGTTAGGCAGAAACTCTTGGCCTACAAAAATAAGTCGCGTTTCTTAGGGAAAGTGACATCACATACAACAAAATTTATGTGCAAGGACATGTTCACTTTTGCTTCTCACAGGTATGTTAAAAATGCCTATCTTAACAGAAAGCGTCTGCTGAAGGTGAAGCGGAATGTTTTTTGGCCAGGTGCAACTAGGTGGCTTATACTCCTTTAACCGATCTCAGCAGATTCAAGGCCAGCAGGAAGAGCTGTCATGGAAACTTCACTTGCAGCTGTAGGCTATTTGCCTCCCCCCCCCTCATTATTTATCATTTTATTTGTATGCTTGCCCTTCCATAGTTAAAACCATGCACAAGGCGGTTTACAACATGAACAAAATTGCATAATTACAAACATAACAAAAGTCGTCATAAAAATAAATAAAACATCAAAATGATTTCCACATTCATGATAAGATCTAAAATAAAGATACAAAGAATAATTTAAATAACAGCAACAATGCCCTCCTCCCAACCAAACCCTCTAAACAGTACCCCACTTTAATGGATTTTAGAAACAAATACAAAGCCTTAAAAAACCTAAATTGTGTGATATAATATTTAGTGACCTGGCTGCTCTTTAGTGATGTGGATTTTCTAGGAAAAAATTGAACTGGAACATTTTCTCAGGGGAAAGCCTCATATTAGACTGATTTGCCTATGGAAATTTGTATCAGATTTTGTTTAAAAAAAATTTGTTTGCAGTGGAAAATTTTGTGATGTCCTAGGGAATGATCTAATTTACCATGTTTATTTAGTAAATTAAACTAAGGAAGTACCCCATATTGATTTATTGTTCCAATACAGCTCAAATGTAAGGACAGTGACCTGGATTCAGTTAACCTATTGTGCTAGCAGAAACCAGCACAAAGGCTTCTGCTAGTGCAATGGGGCTTTCCTCCCATGTGCTCCTGTACTTCCTTCAAATCTGCTCTGCTTCTTTGAAATATCTTTTTTAAAAATGTAAATTTGGAAGTGAGGATTCTGTATCCTGAAGCAGGCTTCCAAACATGGATTCTATCTCTGCACTGAGAATTACATATGTAGGGAGAGCATTGGGTGTGCACTGCATGACAGTTACACACTCACAGGCAAATACAGTGGTACCTCGGGTTAAGTACTTAATTCGTTCCGGAGGTCCGTTCTTAACCTGAAACTGTTCTTAACCTGAAGCACCACTTTAGCTAATGGGGCCTCCCACTGCCGCCACGCCGCCGGAGCACGATTTCTGTTCTCATCCTGAAACAAAGTTCTTAACCCAAGGTACTATTTCTGGGTTAGCAGAGTCTGTAACCTGAAGCGTCTGTAACCTGAAGCGTATGTAACCCGAAGTACCACTGTAGTCCACGATGGCTATACTTTGCATGACAGCCATAGGCAATATACTTGGAAATACTTGTAGCTGGAAAGCACAAGAGGGGAGAGTGTTCTTATGCTCAGGTCCTGCTTTCAGGCTTCCCATGTGCATCTGCTTGACCACTGTGAGACTAGGATGCGAGACTATATTGCCCACTGACCTAATCCGGCAGGGCTATTCTTACGTTCATATTAATTTCTCAGCAAAGAGAAACCATAGTGCTTAGCTAAGCTACCATAAATTACTGTCATAAATAGTACCTAATGTGCACAGTGGATTAAATGTCCCGTACCAATTAAATGTATATAGTTGCATTCCTGAGAGTTACAGTAATCAGCAAATATATTCTTAGTGCTTAGTGCAAGTAGAAGTAGTTGGGTAGAACCGTTTCAGGGATGAAACTAAAATGTTACAGAACTTCCATTATACTACAGCTCTTCCCTTCTGGGACCTATTTTTGTCTCCTGCCTTTGCTTACATGAGATAAGTGGAACAGAGCAGTGGATTATCCAATACCTTCTTCTAAATGCATCTGAGGGAAGGAAGATAATTATTTAGGAGGTAACAGCATCACAGCAAGATATTACTGCTCCACATTTCAGGCATAATCTATGGGGAATGGTATTTTGTGCAGCTCCCATTTATTTTAGAAGTCTTTGTGCAAGAGAATTTCCCCATGATTGTGCCCTTCATTTCATTTAGCAATTTGCTTAGGGCTATGAGTTCACAGTGGGTTAAACCACTGAGCCTCTTGGGCTTGCTGATCAGAAGGTCGGCGGTTCAAATCCCTGCAACAGGGTGAGCTCCCGTTGCTCAGTCCCTGCTCTTGCCAACCTAGCAGTTTGAAAGCACACCAGTACAAGTAGATAAATAGGTACTGCTCTGGTAGGAAAGTAAACGGCGTTTCTGTGCACTGCTCTGGTTTGTCAGAAGCGGCTTAGTCATGTTGGCCACATGACCCAGAAGCTCTACGCCGGCTCCTTTGGCCAGTAAAGCAAGATGAGCGCCGCAACCCCAGAGTCATCTGTGACTGGACCTAATGGTCAGGGGTCCCTTTACCTTTATGAATTCACAAGTAGCCTCTGTATTTCAGCCTCAACTCTCCAAGGCTACACCTATTTTTACAGGGCTCTTCTGAGGATTGTTATCAAAATACAGGACATGTAGTGCTAGTACTATATAATCATTATCATAATAATCACTAGCTCTCAAGAAATTAGCAAAAATTGTCTAGTCATGAGAAAATGCTGCAAACTACCCCCAGAATCAAACACATAGTTCAACCAGCTTTGGTGGAATTGCAGTCTCTCATCCCCACATTTCTATTGCAGCCCTGACTTTGTGAATATCTAAATGTAGAAGCTCTTTAGTTATGTGACTTTCTCTCTTCCTTAGGAAGCCCAAACACAGAATTATTCAGAAAAAGTGTAAAAAGGCGGGGGACACAGGACCAATTACACTTTCATGAGCTAGTCACTTATAGATCTGCCTCCTAGCACTGCTTTATCCTGTCCTTAATTGGGTGCTTTGTTTTCTGCACATTTTGTTGCATTGTTTTATTGAATAGTTTCCACAGTTATTTTATTAGTTTAATCTTACACACTTATATATTTGTTAGCTATTTCCATGGAGTAGGAAATCTACATTTTAAATGTTAGAAGTAAATTAGAAATAATAATAATCAATGCATTCTGATTTGTTCACTTGGTTCCACTGCTAAGTGTTTAGTTTACATTAATGCCCTCATGTAAAATAATAAAATGTGAAATAAGATTTGGAGTTCAAAGTGCTTGAGCTTGCTTCCCTTTAACCACCACCTTATTTTTTATTTATAGACTGGCCTTATTGTTGCCTGTTACCAAGGGTTTGTGGATATTGTAATAGCCTTAGCACAATGCCCTCACATTGATGTAAACTGGCAGGACAATGAAGGAAACACAGCTCTAATTACAGCGGCCCAGGCAGGTAAGGAGGTTTGGTCCTCATTTCATTTTTTTTTGTCCAACAGTTCATGATTGTAAATGCTTATTTATTGTGATTGCATTGAGCAAACAAATGCCAGGTTCCCCCCCCCAAGGTGAGTCTTTAGGCTAGCCCAGCAAGTATTGCTGCTCTGTCCTCTTCCGTACATTTCAGAGAAGCTTGTCCCTTTTAATGCAGCTCAGCACTATAATTAGTGACACTATTATTAATTTAATGCACACCAGGCTCTGCTTACTAGATTAAATCTTCTGGAAGTGATTAATACCTTTCATGGGGAGAAGATGATGTACTCTCTATTACTTCTATTACTGTATACCATTAAAGCTACCATATAGTGAAAAAAAGTGTCCACTTTTATTTCTGACCAAGTAGTAATAATATTACAAATGGGAGCTACAACAAAGTGTTGCAGTGTATCCATCCTCCTAATACTCTTGTTAAGGAAGTTATTCCATTAAAGAAGGGTATTCAACTTTGTTTTCTATTTCTCTTTTCTTGGTTTTCTATTTTTCTTTTCTAACCCCAAGCAGTTCTCTGAACCTTGATCATACTTTTTCCATTGCTGTGCTGACAAAAAAAGAATTTAAAATTGGCATTCAGACAAATATACAGAAGAGTCTAAGGCAACTGTGCTGCTGCAGCCTTAGAAAAAGAAGAAGTAATGAGAGCATAGCAACACTTGGGCTGCAGATAAGCCTATCAGTGAAAACGTTTGATGAGCACAAAAGGGTGCCTAGCACAGCTTCCCTGCTCTGAACCCTCTCTCTCTTCAGCCCCCCAAGATCATGTTATGTCCTGCATACAAAAGCTTTCCTATTCAATTCAGCGAAAGAGTGCAACAAATATTAGGTTGAGCACAGATGCTTTAAAATATTATTTTGTAATAAAAACCAGGAATGTAATCATGTTCAATTCATCATACTGTGCAATACAGAATTGGCAAAGAATGAAGCATGAAGCTTTGAAATGATAAATTCTTGGAAAATTCATTTTAGTTATATTATTTAAGAGTTGCTTAGAATTATAAACTAAATATAGTTTGTGCTAAAATTATTAAATTAATGACAACAGATTCTAATTATTGACAACCTATAGACAGTGTAATGAAAAATGTGTCATGTTGAATTTAATAAATATTTGGTGAAATGCAAGCATGGCAGTTACTTCCCTCTTGGGAATCACTGAATGCTGTTGTAAAAAAATATTAGAGCTGATACAGAATAATGATTCATAATTATTTTCTGGAATCCCATTACCAGAACATGTGTGTTTTAACTAAGCTGTATTCATTTTAAAAAATGAAATGAAAAACTCTTACCTTATCTGATAATTGTTTTGTTTCATTTTAAATGCACTGTGTGGCTATAATTCTTTACTACAAAAGTATTTGTGTGTTTTCACAGCTGCCTTTATAGAAAACCAATGCCTGATACGGCTTTTTAACAAGAGTTAGGTGGTCTCAGATATTGTATAACCTGCTTTGGGTTGTGTCCACCCAGGATATATATCTGTCCAGTTAACGGATTAGATTTAAGGCTGCTCTTTTCTGACCTTTATATTTAATTATAATGAGCTCAGTATTAATCCAGAGTGTTGACATTGGCTTGATACTGTCTGCCAGTATCTGATACTGCTCCCTAAAGAAAATGAGGCTAAGTAGACCACAGGATATATAAGAAGTTTCCTATAATTGTATGGAGTTATTTTCCTCTTTTCTAAAGCTGAATGACATTGGCCTTGATCACATATTACTGAGTAAGCTGGGGCTAGGTCTGCATGCATGATCCAGTCCACCAAGCCTTCCAGAGTCACCTGCCAGCCCCCAATCCAATTTACTAGGATTGTTCCTTGGGGGGGGGGGGACACACCCACCAAAACACGGAGAGTCAAGCAAAGACTGTGGTAGTGTGGTAATCCTTCCTAAGTGGCTAGCCAGCCCCCAATTCAATTAACCACCAGTAAATTTGGGGCAAAACTAAACAAACAAATCAAAGCCCCTCAACCAGACAGAGTTCCATCCTACCCTGTGGTAACAGCCCTAACTCCTGTGGATCCAGAAATGGCTACATATTACACACGGTCCTCCACAGCCATTGTCCCTGAACGTGCTCCAAGCATGACTGGTGAGAGGGAGGATGTTCATGGACTTGCTAAGACATGTCGGTGCCACCTTGGAGCAAGGTTGGGTTTTTTTTTGTTTTTTAAGGACTTCCTGCCTTTTCAGGGTTGTTGCTGGGGAAGGTTGGTGCTGCTTCTTGCCAGGCGTGGCTGTCTCTGGTTTGCAGAAGAACAAAAGCAGAACGGATGCTTTCTGTCTGCTTAACATTTGGGGTGAAGTGATTGTTGTGGCTAATCAGTGGTGAGAGGATCTGGAAAGGGACCCCCGAGAGAAAAGGCAGTGAGAGTGTGTGTAAAAGACAGGAAATAGAGAGACAGGCAAAGAGTGGAGAGAAAGAGAAGTGGAGATGGGTGTGTGTTATAGATGTTTCTCTGTAAGGGAAGGGAAGTCTGCAAATAAGGGAATGGGACTGGGTTCTCGAGAAGCCATGCCCACTTTAAAAATGTGGCCTCTGACAGCTTTCCATTCAGGTAAGATTGCCCTTAGCTGAAAAAAGCTTTCCCATCCCTGCAGTAAGCCACAGTTGAGAGTTCTCACCATCTTTGTTGTTTGGTTCTAGAAACAAACTATGATCCCTAGCTTAACTGGCGATCATGGTTTGTTTTGTTCAAATTAGCAATGACCAGGAAGCCAAGAACATCCCTTGACTTCATATTGTGGTTCGCTTCTCCCATGTGGGAAAGTGGGAAAAATTGGCGCATTCACAGTAAACTTTTCTTTCAGTCATGATCTTGTTGCCCTGTAGAGTTTACTACTGGCAGAATTGGAGCTATGTTTTCACAATTGCCAAAGTCCTATTATTAATTAATAGACATATATTTGAAACAGCCTTATAAAGAATTTATGCATTTTAATTAAAGTTGCATTTATTTATAGATTTTAAGAGCTGATTCTTTTTCAACATACCACTTTAAAATTTGAGGGTGGCCTGTCGTTTCTTCTATTCCATTTCCATGTCACATTGATTGCTTCCCCCCTCTACCAGAATCCTAACATTGCTATTTTCTGTTGACTTCATTCTGCATCTCTGGTCTTAATACCACTGTTAAACTGTCTTGAAAACAGCACACAGTTACACATCCCTAGCACACATAATTTCAGGCTTACTGTTACCACCTTAAATTATAACTTAATAAAGAAGAAGCTCCTGAACAGGCACCTAGAACTCATTTGAATCCAATATTGATGAAAGGAACACTTCAGCTGAGTCCATGTCCAGATCTGGTGTTATGTACTGAGTTGAATAGGATCCAAACTGCAGCAGTCTGATTGGTCCTAGAACAATAGGATCCAAATTGCATCAGTCTGATTGGTCCTAGAACAATAGGATTCAGAATGCAGCAGTCTGATTGGTCCTAGAACAATGCAGCAGTATGATTGGTTGGCAGGAACCACCCAATCATGCTCCAGATATAAGTGAATCCACAACCTGATTGGCTTACAGTAGAATTCCAGAATTAGCCAATCATGTGCAGCCCATTGTGTAAATAATGTATATAAAGCAGATACTGTGAGGGGGCTTTCATTCATTCCTCCTCACCACTATGAGCTGAATAAAGAGCATAAAATCACTTTGCGACTCTGAGTATATTTCATCTGGCCTCCTACTTTTTCTCTGTTAACCAGCTACAGTTGCATGGGAGAGCCATCCCTCTATCCTATAGTTACTGTGCTCTTGCCCTTTTTCCAGATAGCTACATTTGTTGGCAGCTTTCAGGAGTCTGCAACTGCTCCCACAACTGAAAGAGCACTAAGCAGTTGTAAGTTTAAGCTTTTTCATGGAGTATTAACATTCTGAATTAATTGTGCATTGTATTGGCAATCTTTTCCCCTAGCCCAGATAGCTTATGTTAAAAGAGTTCATAAAAGTAGAAATTCTTATTAGCATCTTGCATTTCTCCTGCTGCTTCAACTGTGAGCATATATAAAGATTGTTTTCTATAAGAGCTTTTAAATGGAGTTAACTGATTGCCATTAACTTGAATTAGCAACTGCACCTGAAACTGCAAGTCTGAATAGTGCAACCATTTGTGTCTGAATTCAGACTAAAGAACAAATCTTTTTTAAAAAAAGGTTACCAGGGCTGTATTCAAAGTAGTGTTAAGCAGGTTGTTTTGTCAGCGCAAGGATTTATCCTTGTGCAACAGAAAAAAACCTCTTCCTCTGGGCCCCCAAATTTGTTCTGGGTGTTTCCCCAACCCTCTGGAACATCTATGGGTATGGCATGGGGTATGCATGAGGGGTGGAGAAAAGGAGGGAAATCCCATTGCACCAGCTCTAATCCTATTTCTAGCACAGCTGTTTAGCTCAATACTACCCAAAGTGAAATATTGAGCTGGAGGACTGAGACTGCATATGAATGACATTTTATTTTAGAATCAGTGAGAGTCTGAGTACTTCCTTTTTCTTTGTAGTCCACACACAATCTAGATCTAGTGCATATTTTTGCTCCTGAAAAGTGCATTTTGAAAAACTGGTTGGTTCATTCCAAAATAAAAGTTCATTGCAGATTGATTCTGCGTTTCCCCACAGTGTGTTCATTTGAAAACAGATGAAGGTGGTTCCAGCAATGGGGGAGTGTATCCACACCTTCCCTTCTTCATTCACCCAGGGCATATGCAGGGAGGAAAAGGCATTGATAACCTAATCAATGGAGGTTTTTCAAATGGTTATCCGATAACCACACCCACCCACCCTTCTGGATGGCAGGATTTAGAGTCAATCAAGATTGAAAGCAGCATGCTGAGGACGACCATGAACAATTCCACAGTGACAAAAATTATGCTTTGGTACTACAAAGGGATTGGTGTGTACACAGCCTGAGCCTTATGTCCTTAGTGCACATGTATGAATTGCACCGCGGTGGCCAAAATGGTGGCCTTCAGATGTTGGACTATGGCTTCCATAATCCCTGGCCAATGGCCATGTTGGCTGGGACTGGTGCGAGCCAGGAGCCCAAATACATCTGGAGGGCATGGTGATGTAAACCCCCAAATTCTAATGTTGAAGCATGTACTATGAAAATACCGCTACTAACTTCTACTCAGTTTTACTCAAAAATAGTGAGGCCTTTTCTGTTAGTTAGAGATTCTATTTCTAACAATTCTGTAAGGGCTGCCACCCATTTTGCAGGTGGCAAAGTAAGGCTGAAAGTCTGCTGAGGCATGCTTTTTCAGTTTTTTTGGCATGATTTTTCTTTTATTACCATGAGGAAATTAGCACAGGTCTCAGTTCTGGTAAACAGAAGCTTAAGCAGTTAGGGGCACGTTCAGAATGTCATTAATACTGGGCACCTAAGTAATGAAATAGTTTTAATGCAGTTCTGAACAATTATTATCAGAAGCCCTTTACCTGAGAAATAGGAGGGGAAAGATACCTTGAAAGGAAAATCTAGATTCATTTTATAGAAATGAAGTTATTTTCCACGGATTGCAGTAGGACTTTGCACTTAATGCAGCCCTTTGAAAGGATATTATTTGTAAGGATCAGGTGCCTGGTTTCTGCAGAAACATTTTGGCTGCTTTTCCATTTCTAGTGACTCATTGGTGCTCAGAGAGCACCAGTGATATAAATTAGTAATGATGGAAAAGCAGTTTCCAAAGTGGTTGTTTGAATCTGCTCTACGGGGTTTTGTGGAGTTGGGCATGCCTATGTCTTGATTTTTGTATTTTAAATTACCTAGAAAGTCTAGGAATGTTCTGAAGTTATGTAGGCCTAAGAGTGTTTGGGGTTGGGTGATCAGACAATAGTAAGGATCTCCAGCAGAGCCCATTGCTGATCAATTTAAAAGGACATGAGCACATAATAAGGACGGGAAAATATCAGAAGTTCAAATCAGAAACGTCCCTAAGAACAAGGCAAGTAGAGACACTCCAAATGAATGCCTGACATTTTCACTTCTTTCATAATTTTGCATTATTGTACCCTGTCGCTATCTAGGTCGAAGGACTCTAAAAAAGGGCTCCAGTTAGGAAAGAGGCAACCAAAGAGCACAGCTGTCCATAAAATACCTGAGTGTAATTAAAGCTGCTTAAATAGATAAACATGCAGCTCTCCTCCTTCTAGAATATGTAGATTTGTTTGGGTGCCATGAAGCCACTGATCATTAAAACTGTACCAGATGTTCTGCTATGGATTTTGTTTAATTGCTTGTATGAAACTTCTTCATAAACATTCTTGGATAAATTTAACTGACTGACATGTATTGCAGAATATTTAACTGGACTGCAAAATAAGACGAGGGAACTTTTTTTATACAGCTTACAGTAATTAAGTTGTTGTTGTTGCAGCTGGCTGACAGACTACATTATTACACAAACCATCAACCCATCATACAACAAATGACAAGTGGGGGGAAATGTTCTGAATGAGCAATAATGGCACTAGATGTTTGTCTTGTTCTGTCAGTCCAATTACAAGGGCTTGATGGTTTAATTGGTCTTCAGACTGTTAGCTCCCTAGCGTCTATAATTTTAGCCTGTGATAGATTTTTACCACTCTACATATTTCAGTGATACTGGCAAAGCAGGCAGACCTTCTGCTGGAGATTATGCCTGATATGGTCTGCTAAAAGCATTTCTAAGAATATATATACTGTGTCTATTTATTTATTTACTTACTTACTCAGTCATTTTAGTTCATAATCTGTCCTGTTGCTAGTTCAGGATAGTAGAAGCTTAATGACCAGGGTTTTACAGCAGAGTTGGGAAACTGAACCCTCCTATGGCTGGCAAGGCAACAACAGATCTTTAAACTATTATTTCCACTTACCATAGACTCTCACAAATTACCATTAATGTGATCATATTTATAACTCTTAAGCATTCTATGTAGGCCTGCCACTGGTAATTATTTGGAAATTGCATGTGATGGCAATGAGTGGCTAGGAGGAAACTGGATTCATTATCCAGTGTTTCAATTAGCTTCCTATAGCTTTCCAGGCATAACTCAAAGGTACTGCTTTAATCTATTTGGCACTAAATTGTATGAACACTACGTCCTAGAACCCACCTTCTGCCATGATTAGCTTAAATTATCCTTCTGAGCAGGGATAGGGAATATGGATAATAGACCAAATCAACTTTCCATTAAATTTCGATTAATATACTGCAAACAAAATTTTGCATAGCTTTCATTTCTAAGGAAAAGAAGTAACTGATCTGTATGTGTATTTGCCAACCATTGAGAGAGACATATTCAGGGAGCACCAGTGACTGTGTGGGAAGGAGAGGGTGAAACCCATTTTGTTAACTTCCTTATCTTAGGATTGAAACAAGCCATAGCATTTTATAGTTCTCGGTAGTGGCACCTGCCCTGTGGAATACCCTCCCATCAGATGTCAAGGCAATAAGCAACTATTTTACTTTTAAAAGACATCTGAAGGCAACCTTGTTTAGGGAAGTTTTTAATGTTTAATGCTGTATTGTGTTTTTAATATTCAGTTGGGAGCCGCCCAGAGTGGCTGGGGAAACCCAGCCAGATGGGCGAGGTATAAATAATAAATTTGATGATGATGATGGTGATGTTAGCTTAATGGTTATTTGACTCTGAGGAGTGTGTGTGATCTGTCCTGAAGCTTCAGAATATGAGAGTTAAAATAAAACAAGTAGAATTCACAGTGGTTTGAAAATAATACACTTTTGTATTGATATTTTTTATTCTTTTTTTTGTAGGACATATTACTATTACACAGTATTTATTAAACTATTATCCTGGCCTTGATATTGAGAAAAGGAATGTCTTTGGATTTACTGCACTCATGAAGTCTGCAATGCAAGGCCGAAGTGAATGCATCAGAGCTTTAATGTTGGCAGGTATAGAAAAATCCTCTGCTTCATTATCCTCATTCCCTTGAACTACTGTAAAGACTACTTCTAAATGAAGGACTGCAGTTCTTGATATTTACTCTCTTGGCAGCCCTGCCTACTCTAATTACAGACTGGACAAAGAAAGAGAGAGGGAGAGAGAAATTCAAAACCATTGTTGCTTATTGTTGTTTTCCACCACTGAATTTTCTACAAATGGATCTCATTAAGGAAACTAAATTCATTAATTTATTTATAAACATGAATATTCTACCATATTTTGCAAAACCAGTACCAAACACAATCTAGGGCAGCTGAAATTTCCTTTCAGTGCCTACAGGTTTACATACTCAGTTTAAATGGAAGGCATAACCCAGTGAACTTGTACTAACCCTTGCAAAAATAAGTTTGCATAGTGCAGAACTTTCATAAAACACAATAGGAAAAGCAGACAAAGCAGCTGAATTAAAAGCAGAGAGTAACAATTGGAATACTAAAATTATATTAAAAGCACCCTGAAATAGAAAAAAAGAAAAATCTCCAGCAATCAGCTGAAGCTTTAAAGAGAAGAGCCCTGGCATGTCTCTACAGAGAAGGCATTTCACAGTTGTGGTTCCACCACTAAAAAGACTGTCTTGAGTGCCCATCTTCTGATGTTACATAAGGATGGAGCAGAGCCTCTGAAGTTGACTTTAACTGGCAGCAGGCTTTTTTAAATTTTCTGTATCACTCTTCCAACTGGGGGCTGAGGGGGGACATACAACATAATTAAGACAGTGTTACTAAATATCTGCAATAACAATAGAAAACTAAAAACACACCTTTTATTCACAGGGTTATTTCAGTAGTTCATGGAGACCAGAGTGTTTTTTGTGCATTTCAGGTTATCAGGAAACAGGTTAATAGCAAAGTGATGTGGAGATGGGCTATTACTTCTGCTCATTTTAGGGAAGCTATCAGGATGGCAGCTACTGGCCAGACATTATATTTAGAAATAATTCATGGATTAAGGACTGCTCAGCAATTGCAAGAAATAATGGAGCTTGTAGAGTGCTAAAGAGGATGAAACATGGATTTATTGCCAAAAGGCTCAGGAGAAACAGAGCTAAGCTATTGCAGCCTTATTTTGAGAGAGTATCCCTAAGCCAGGGCAAACCATAGTGATTACTCATTGCTTTTAGCAAATATTACAGAACAGGAATTCACACGAGATACAAATATGTTCTTCTGTTCAAATACCTGAAGGCTCCCATTTGTTAAATATGGTTTAACATATGGTAAAATGGTAAGATACACAATTTCAACCCATCTAAAGGCAATTGCACAAATATTCTCAGCTGTAAATTTCTCCTATGCTAGTTAGGTTGCTGTGGACTCCCGCAGTTGTTTGAAATATTTGCAAAACTTGAGCCTAACCCCACTTTTCTTGGGAGTCAGCCCCATTCATTCAATAAGATTTACTTCTGAGTAGGCTATTACGTGACCAATTTACTCATACTGAAATGAGTCGAAAAACGAAGCTATGAAACATCTACATTAATATTGCCGTTTTAAAAAAGAAGGGCCCAAAAGTTCCTATAAACTTGGAGTTTTTCTGATGTTTTTGCTGGAAACCTCAGCTCAGATACTTCAAGCATATTTCATTTGCAGATAATATTGCAATATGTGTAGCGGTATTAATTTAATGGAATATTAATATTCCAAACTGACTGGGATGTCCAGGTTACTTATTCTGAAAAAAAACCCCGTTTGTAATATTAGATTTCTCTCTGGAAAATCAGGTCTAAGTGGAGATGGACACGTTTCTTACAAGCTGATTTTCAGACTCAATGTAATTCAGAATGATTGATAGAATGCCATGACACTTGGAAGGAGGACTTGAATATTCATGTGTGACCCAGGTAGCAAAGTACCTAACCTCATTTATGTTCATGTGGGATTAGTTTTAAAGAAGTCACTGCAATACTTCAGTAGTGTTTAAAGCAAATCTTGTGTCCCAAATAGATTTCCTGAGAAAGAACATACAGCAAAAATTGACAAGCTATTAGAGAAGACTTATTTGTGGTCACTGTGCAGACAATCTTCAGTATTTTCTATCTAGAGCTTTACTGGTAGAATTTCCCCATTTAGGCAGAGAGGATGCTGGAGTCAAGAGCTGAGAATACCTGTATTCCATTCATTTCTTTTCTTAGCCCTACGACAACAATAACACAGAAAACATCTGAGCTCTGTATTTTTTCTACTATTCATTCCATTATTATTTATTACTTGATTAAGTCTTTGTGTTCTGTGGGATAAATGTTCATATTATCTTCAGAGTCTCTTTCAGTGATGGTACCAGCACACACTCCAAGGTATTCTCCAGTCACCCATCTGTGCGATTGGAGAGAGATCAAACAGGAAAGACAAGTTGCTTACCAGTAAATTGTGTTCTTTGATTGGTCATCTGTGCAGTCACAGCTCATGTAGTTTCTTCACTGCTGGTGTCGTCAGTTCGTTGAAATCATCATGGCAAGGCTGAAGGAACTGAACAGGAGGCACCTGCCTCACCTGTTTCAGGCCAACCCTTCTCCCTGAAAAGAGGGGACAGAAATACTAACCCCCTGACTAACATATTATAAACTCCTGAAAATGTTTTACACTCAAGTGTGACTGCACAGATGGCCACCATTACAGGTAAACAGCCTAATTTTGGTGCACTTGATCCTGAAATACAATCTTAAGAACAGCTGGGAATGTACACACATGGAGTAGCAAAACTTCAATGCCTAGAGCAGGAAAAGCAGTCAACTACTTTGCGTTTGCCTGAGATAAAACAGCAGAAAATTACATGAGGAGGAATACATAATGCCATAAATGCACATAAAAGCCAACCTTTTTTTATTTAGCAGAATATAGAGTAGTGTGCCTTAGTATTTGCCAGTATAAGGGCTAGAGATAAGGAGGGGTCAGCAAACCATATCTTCCTATCACCTTTCCTCCTTTTCCTGTCTGGCATTGGATGGTTTCAGATAGATATACCTTTCACTGATTTATTCTGGTCAGATGTAATCTCAAATTAACCTCTTAACCATTCATGAGATTAGCCTAAATCCACAGATTTGGGTTTCTGGCTGTGCCATCTGGTGTGCTGGAATTGTCAGCAAACACTATTCACATCTCTTCCATTTGTCCTTTCAATAGCTTTTGTTTGTTTTTTACTGGTACTTTTTTGTTGGCTGCTTAGTATGTGTAATTTTGCTTTCATCTGCAAAATGAAAGGTCCATTGTAGACCTAACATTCCGAGTCTTCTGGCCATTCCTCCTCCCAGTCCATTTTTGGAGCTGACTGTGGTGCACAGTTTACATGGCAGGCGGGGGGGGGGGAGAGAAAGAGGAGCATATGAGCAAGACTCCCTTAGACACCACAAACAGTTTTATGCAGAGTAATGTGGCCCTTAGTCTACAAAAGGTTACCACCCCTGCCATGGGCTGTAACAAAATAAGATGAATGGAAGTTTAAGTTTAATGTGAGAAGCGTGTGTATGGTAGAATCATGTTTTCCTAGGAACAAAACCTAGAAAAACCACTCATTCACAATACACACTTCCACAACATTCTTTACTGGTGATTTGAATTAAACAAATATTTAAAATACCTCAGAGATTATCACAAAACTGCACTTCATTAAGACTTTTGAGATTGATACAGTGTTTTTTAAAACTCCAACTCAATGAGACAATGAAATGCAAGGTCAGGCAGCACTTACTGTGTTGTGATGATGACACATGTTAAGTATCACTCTAATTTCTGATGGTGTAGCTATGGGGGCATAACAATATCTGCTGGCTCTCACTACAGTTCTGTACTGAGCAGTAAATATCTAAATAATTTGTGTAGCTAAAAAAAAACAAAGTAAAATTGGGTTGTTTTATCACAATACAGTCAAAATAGAATTGTCAAGCAGCTAAGGTTTCAGAGTTTCCTAACGCAATATCTTACAAAATTCAGGATATGCTTAGCTTTACCTATATAATGTGGTCAGCTGCACTTTTAAAAAACCCCAATAATTAAAAAAAACCTAACTCTCTCTCTCTCTCTTTTGAGGGGCAAACATTTATGCCACAGACCCAGGCCGTGGATTCACATCTCAGGAATGGGCATGTTTCACAGGAAGAATAGAATCTGCCTATCTTATGCAAAGACTTATGGACAAGCCATGTGCTGAGCAATTTTGTGACCACTATGAGCTAGAATGGCCAAAGTTGAAAGAACTTCTTGCCAAGGCTGCAGAGCGAAAGACCTGTTTGCAAAAGATCTCGGAAGGCGTCAGATCAATAATAGCTTCCAGAGGTTTCAAAGGCCCTGAAGATGATGGTGTCCTTGATCATATGGTTCGGGTGACAACAAGTCTAAGGAGCTCTTTTGTTGCCATAGCTTGTAGGACCGTGTGCCCTGGAAGTCCACCTGGCATAGGGAAACGCAGGCCTGCTGTACAAGAGATCTTTAGGAAACAAAGAGCCAAGGAAATCAAATCTATGGATAGCAAAGACCATTTTAACAGCTATGAGAAGCTGTTTCAGAACTCCAGAGTTATGTTAGTCTCCAAAAAGAAGGAAAGGCGAGCCAGCCTCCAGCCTTTCAGTCTAAATGTACCTCAGGTTAGCATTGTGGTTCCAAGGAAATCAAGCTTGCTGCCACTACACTTGTTGAGAAGGAGCAGTGTGCGCCCAGGATTTGTCATCCCCAAAGTCCGAATCAACAAGGCGCCTCCACCTACTTTCCAGCCAGAGAAAGTCAGACGAAAAAGCAGTGCCGGTGATGGGGCTTACCTGCAGATTCCTAAGTGGAGGTATAAAGAACTGAAGGAAGAAAGGAAGAAAGCAGAGGAAGAAGAAAAGAAAAAAGCAGAAGCAGCTCAGAAACAGAAGCAAGGGTCTCCCGTGAAAAGCAAGACTTGAACTGAGGCTGAGACTCATGATAGCACTACTGAGATCAATAGAAAAGTCAAGTTGCTGTATTGGGGCCAGCTGAATGACACAATTTAAAGGAGAATAAATCATCTAGAGAGCAACTGATACGGTAAAGTGTATATACGTCAAGAAATGTAAGGAAAGATTTAGAGAATCTGTGAACAGGTTTAAAATATGGAAAAGGTAGTTTTCTTGGGGTGGAAAACAGATGACCCACAAAAGGGGTAATGGGATTAAGCTCCAAGAAGGGAGAGTTAGTCTGGATATCAGACATTTTTCTAAACATAAAAGAGTATTAAGCTACAGAGTATGTTTGCAAGGGAAACTAATATTAAAAATAGATTTCATAAGCGCTGGCTTGGGGATAAGTCAAAAGACAAGTCTACGGATTTTGTACAAGTGTATTATGATCTCCCCATCCCCCACACTAAAGTAAAGGGCTTTAGCTTGATGCTTGCTTTTAAGAAAATATGGACATTGTAATGAAATTTCAAAAAACAAAAAACCAAACATTGAAAGGATGCAAAAATCTTAGGGCATTTTGTAGAAAACCAACTTTATGAATAAAATGTTTGTAAAGCATTTCTTCTGAAAGATATGTTAATAGAAACAAAATGGTCTGAAATTATATATTTTGTATTGAATGAGATTTCACTGTTTATTTATAAAAAGTGTAAAAACTACTACGAATTGGGTTAATTTCACAAAATGCAACATTTCTGAGGATCCTCCCCAGTTATTTTTCAGGATTATGCTCAACTTAAGGTTCCCCCACTTCTGTATTCTGAAACAGATCTGCAGCAAAATTTTCAACGTGATGTGCTCCCTGTTCAGGATTCCAGCTGTCACGTTCCTCAGCCACACCATTTTTATTTCTTTTTTGAACTCTCAACAGCCAGTCAGCATGCTGTGGCCACTGAACATTTGAGCAACTTTTGAATCCCTCCCGACTTCTTCCTAAATATGCTTTCTTCTTCAGCAGACCCCTATACCTGCTGATACATTCCCAGCTTGCGTGTGGGCAGTGCCATTTTTGCTTTATAAGAAGCTGCACTCATTTCTTGAACATCAGAAATAGAGGGAATGGTGCTCCTTCCAAGAAGCTCAAGGCATTTTTAGTACATGCAAAAATTCTGTTGAACACCAGCATTGAACTAAAAGTGCAAACATAACCATTCTCAGAAATAAACCCCACTGAGTTCAATGAATTTATTTGCTGGCAGGGTAGAGATTTGATTCAGTTCTCATTTAAAGCCAAATTTATCAAAACAAGAACTGGAATACAGCAATCCTTTGAAATTCACATGTATCTGAATCTGCAATGCAGTTTTCCAAGCAGTGCTTACAAAAATGCATGTACCGGTATATAATTTAGGAAAAGTGTGCATAAAAAACACAAAAATGCGAAAGGATTTGCATGAGGGTTTTTTTTTTATGCAGATGCAGAAATGTGGAGAACTGAATCTAAGATTTGAAAAATGAGAAACAAATACCAAATTGAGAGACCGTTCCAGCACTACTTCCTGGTCTATATGGGACAGGAGCTTTAGCTAACCATGCATGCTTCTAGTGTGGAAGGCCATCAACTAAATGAATGCATATACATTTTTGTCCATTTTTTAATCAGTTCTCTGCAAAACTAAATTGCTGATATGTATTAATTTCTGCTATTACTAAAATTTATGGCATCCTAAAAAGATGTTGGTAATATTTTCAAATGATGCTCTCCCCTTTTTTATAATTAGAGGGCAAGCTTTTAGATGCCCATGACAAAACTGCCTATATGCATCTTTCTCTTATGCTCCAACAGAGATGATATATTTTTTTCTTCACAGCCAACACATTATATTTACATATCAAATCAGTCAGTTTCTTTTTTAAAAAACCAATTCTTACAAGCAAGTACATGAATTTGCACTTTATCATCTAAAGGACAGGTTCAGCTGAAATGCACTATGACTCTCAGGGATGAATTTAAACAGTAATGTTCAAAGGGTGTAACCCATTTGTATGTGTATATGTTATATTTTCAATTATGTTAAACAATAAATTCTGTTTAAATTATGGCATGCCTTACCTCAGTTTGGTTTGGGACCAGCATGATCTTATGATCAGCTTCTAACACCATGAAATTGCCGCGCCCAGCTCCTACCTTTGCACATTCGACTAGGTCAGCTTCAACTTCGGCCGCCTTTATGGCCAATGCTCCATTAGTGGAGATTTGTAGGGCAGTCATTTGGTTGTCTCCCTCCACTTTCACAAGACATTATTAGTTAGATCAAATGTTTTCAGCTGAAGCGGCTTTTAGCCGCACGGTATTACTTCAGGTCTTGTAATCAGTGTGCCAGCAGTGTGGACTCACCCAGCTGTTGGGAAGTGCTGCGGTATGTCCCAATCCACTGGCCTTCCCTAAGATGGTCTGATTTCTATTTTTTAGAGGGGGTTCTGTCTCTTCTGCTTTTTAATTGGTTTATGAGCTGGGAGGGAGGCAGGCTAATATTCCATTTTCAGGTGCTTCGGTGTATGGTTTAGGGAAGTTTTTAATGTTTAATGCTGTTTTGTGTTTTTAAGATTTGGTTGGGAGCTGCCTAGATGTAAATGATATATTATTATTATTATTATTATTATTATTATTATTATTATTATTATGCTGTTTGGCAAGTCCAAAAAAACTGAGCAAGTGCCTGCCTTCCACAAGTCTTTGCTCCTGCCTGCGGTCATGTGAGAGGACTCACCCAGTCCACTGTCCCCAGCATCCTACTCTTAAATCTACACTTCAGGTAAGCCAATCATTCTTTTCAAAACTGTTAAGATGCATAAAGAGAGAGAGACCATTTTCTAGAATGCGTTACCTGTATTTTTGCACAACACAATAAATCCGATTCTTACTGAAAACTTCAGGCAGAGCTTATAAAACTTAGGCATTCTATTGATACCAAAGGGATCTTTATGTGCTTGCTCTCCAGTTGAAAGCCATAGTACCCAAAAGCAAATGAACTGAAGAGCTCTGCCAGATGATGTCAGAGGCTCATCTAGTCTCCAGCATCTTATTTTTACAATGGCCAACCTGATACCTATGGGAAGCCCTTAAGCGGGAATTGAGTACAACTGCACCCCCACCTGTGATTCCTAGTAACTGGTATTCACAGGCATATGTTACCTCTGACAGTGGAGGTAGGACATAGCCATCATGGCTGGCAGCTACTGAATGTCGGATCCTCCATGAATTTGTCCATCCACATTGGTTGCCATCACTGCATCTTGGGGTAGCAAACACAAGGAACTAGTTTCCCCCCGTCCAGTGTTTTCCTATCAGCTTAATAGAACTTTAGCTGTATTGTGCCCAAGAGATACATGGAGCTCAGCTAGCATTGATGTACGTGTGTGTTTTTACAGTGAAGTCAAACTTTGCTTTTCTGTTATTGCTTCCTGAGTTTCAGTCTTCACTGATTTATTAGCAGTGCTATGCTACTACACCTAAAGTCAATATTTGAACTCCCTTTATGAGAAAAGAACCCTAGAAGCTACCAAGCAAGCAAGCAAAAAATACTGTATCACACAACTGTATGTTTGGCCACTGTTGAAGGATTTTGACCTTTTTACTTTGAAAGTTGGTAGTGATCTTTGCACAAGACATTATGCAATCGTTTTGTATTATGTCTAGGTATATAGACATACACTCTATTCCTGGATCTACTCCACTGTTTCAAACCCTTTGTAATACTGGGCTACACATTTTTCCTCTAGACTTTCCTAAAATAGAAGTCAATAGAAACCGTTCAATTTGTTTTTTGTTGCAGTGGCTTTAACTAGTTAATAGTTGTAGTGGTGTCTTATTTTTGAGTACAGTGATATTGTTATATCACCCAGAAGACAGTACATAACAGAGGCCACTCAAGTTTCCTCAAACCCAAACCGGAGTCTAATTTTACATTTTACCAAAATAAATAAATAAATAATATTCTGTTGTTGTCCCCAATGCTTCTGTTCATCCTCCCAAATGTCTATTTAATTTACAGCTTCAAAACAGCATCCAACTATCTGAGCAATAAAATGAACACAAATTTAAAACAGAACCAACAATTAATTGCACCCCATGAGCTTGATTTTTTTTGCGTAATTGTAGCCAGAACATTTTGGCTTTCTTAATTCTTTTCTACACCTATTAGCAACCACTGAGTGAAGATATGCCTCGTATGTATTCTGCACTAAAAATAAAATTAAGATAAATTCCTCCCCCACATCATTACACTCCTCCCCAACCAACAAATGTTTGAAAATAGTTTTGTCACTTTCTTTTTTTGGAGAATTTATCATGCAATTTTTTACTCACTCTGTTTTTTAATATATAATTTAAAAAATAGTTTTCCAATATACCCCCAATAATAGCCAAATTATAACAATAACAGTTTATTGATTCTTGTTTTACAAATCATATTGAATGGCAAGGAGCAATACAGGGAGGTTGCATCGCCAACTACTGGAAATTCCCCCCCACTCACATGTCTCTTCTGAATTTCAACTGATGTGACCTTAGCAGAAAGGACTGCTGCTTGCACAAGTCCAGGCATTGGTGTGTGTTGGGGTGAAAATTGGGTGTCCCAACATGCACAACTAGAAGTGCTTTCCACTAAAGCAAAGCCACCATTGGATGTGACCCTTGAAAAGCAAAGAAAACTTACCTTATGGAGGAGAGAGATATGACGACTCAGGCCAAACTAACTCTAGCTGTTCCCTGCTTTGCTAAATGCCAACAAAATGGAGAATCAGGTATTTCCCTCATAACCAACAGAACCTTATATAACACTCTTAACAAATTGCCTATGTGCATTTTGGTGCTTCTGAGTTAATGACAAATATGCTCAAACTGTATGTCTTTAAATCCAGAAGCTTTTACCTGTTTACTCATCTTCCTCTAGCATCAAACTAAAGGAACAAGGAGCAGACCTTTTACACTAGTGGTGCCCTCACTATAGAACTGTCTTCCCAGCAAAGCCTTGCAAGGCCAGTTCTCTTTTAGGGTGGCTAAACAATGCTTTCTTCTCTCCCCCCCCAAAGATAAATTGTAATTTATGCTCAAACTGAATTTTAAATTGCTTTTCCGTTTGCCATTTCTCTAATTTTCATAATTTGTTTTAATGCTATTCTTATTTGTCTTTGATTGTTGTAATCTGCCGTCAGGTTCATAGTTTAGTTGAAAAGGTAGAAACTAAGGTTGTAGCCAACTACCGTATTTTTCGCCCTATAGGACGCACTTTCCCCCCTCCAAAAATGAAGGGGAAATCTGTGTGCGTCCCATGGGGCGAATACAGGCTTTCGCTGAAGCTTGGAGAGCGAGAGGGGTCGGTGCGCAGGAAGCTATCAGCAAGCCTGGGGAACCCGCGGGAGTTCCCGCAGGGCTCCCTAGGCTGCGGACAGCAGCCTGCCGCCCGGCGCACCCTGAAGCAGAGTGCCCCGCGCGCTGGGCAGACATCCGCAGCATGGGGAGCCTTGCGGGAGTTCCCGCAGGGCTCCCTAGGCTGCGGATAGCAGCCTGCTGAAGCAGAGCGCCCCGCGCTTCTGGCAGGCATCAGCCAGCCCCACAAGCTCGGGGGACAGTGGGGAGGCGCAGCGCCGCCATCCCGTTCCCCGGCCTGGTTTTTCCTTTATCCCCCCCCCCAACTAGGTGCGTCCTATGGGACGAAAAATACGGCAAGTCCTAAATCCATTGAAATTAATGGACCTAAGTTAGTCATGCCCATTAAATTTAATGGATTTACTTGGAGTAGAACTAACATTGGATAGAAAATTATATGTATCTCACCCAATGGCAGGAAACAGGATTCACCCTGTGTGATTCAGTCACAGATGCAGCCTTTGATGGTGAGATGAAGGCCAAGGCACCTGTCCTATTCAGTTTCCTTTCCTAGTACAACTAACCTAATTAAGTTGCCACCAGTCAAACAGCTGCAATGCAATCTTGCAAGCAGATAATTACTTTGGCAAAATCTGGAGCCACTGCCAGCACCTGGACTCCTGCTCAGAACTTCCCATTATAAATTTTCCGTTCCTTTTAAATTGGTGCACTGTGCAAAAAGTTGTTCCTTTTTGTTGAACTTTTCCTGCGTCTTCTAACAGCAGCACAAGACACAGAAATTAAACATAACAGGAGTTTCCCCTAGCATAGAGTGGCGGAAACATTTTTTCAGTCTAGTTTTATAAAACTGGAAGCCACTTCTTGTGTGATAGATAGCATCTTCAGTGTGTTCTGTATATCCTGTATATATTTTCTTTTGGGGGGGCGGGGGAGTTTACCTTGGAGATTAATAAGAATTAACTAGCTCAGAAAAAGACGTTAAGCGTTGGGAGGATACTAGTAGCAGCTGCACAGTGCTGGTGTCTTGTTTCAGCTATTCATCCATTATGCCAGCCTTCTCCAATCTAGCCGGAGTTGATGGGAATGGTTGTCAAAAGCACCTGAAGGTCACTAGGTTGATTAAAGCTCCATTATGCACAGGAGCGACATACAAAAGCAGCCCACTCTGTGTTGTAGCATATGTGTGTGTGTTTTTCTGCTGCATCGGGGGTCCAAAAAATCCAAGAGTTTTAGTAACAAACTAGCAATTCACCTAGTACCATAGCTCCGTACATTTCCAACATATACAGAATAGCAAAAGGAGATGCTGTGCTTTTAATAAATGTTCCCCTAATGAGCTCAACTGAAGAGTTTATTTAAGGATGTTGTTTTTGTTCCAGATTCTTCCAGGTGTCACATTTGTCACATCAGTTGCAGGCTAATGTCCTCTCTGTTTGATAAACCATCACTTGTGGATGTCATCATGCCAGTTGATCATGAGCTCATGGTGAGGCAGCTCTGGTTAATTTCCCCCCCACAGAAAAAGCAACAGTGATTTAAAATGCAGTTATTCATTGTGCTGAATTTTTAAATGGACAAGGCTGCCACAAGGTATTCAATAAATATGGCTCCATTGAAAGCTAATCTAATGTTGCACCTGCCAGATAAATAAGATGCCAGATCTTAAATTCAAAAGCAGTCGGCTTCCTTGCACAATAGGATGCAAGGTTTAATGCTACATACTTCTCTCTTAAATTTAGCTAAAACTGAGCGGATTCCCCAAGGTGCAGTATTAGACTTTTGCATCAAAAACCACTCCCATGTATCCTTGAATTCAACTCCAGTGATGTTTGTAATAGCAGTCAACCGGGACAACCAAACAAGCAAACTATACTTTCTCCAAATAAGATTTGGCAAACAATTTTACTTCCAAAACACAATCCCAAATCTGATTGTATCCAACTAAGTTATACAGATGGCAACCATTTCGTGTGGTGGTTCCATTCCCAGCCCCCGCACACATCGGCAGCGTATAAGCATGTCCCACCCCATTATACCCTGCCCACGTTCTGCCCTCTTCTGGGTTCAAAAGGACCTGCGGTCACCATCTGTACTCAGAATAGACCCATAGAAATTTATGGACTTAAGTTCAATGGGTGTACACCAATGTTTCCCAAACTTGGGTCTCCAGCTGTTTTGGGACTACAACTCCCATCATCCCTAGCTAACAGGACCAGTGGTCAGGGATGGTGGGAACTAGTAGTTCAAAAAGAGCTGGAGACAAAAAATAGGGAAACACTGGTCTACACTGATTTAACATTGAATACAACTGTATTGCATTATCATGTTTTAAATAGAGATAATAGGAGTTTAACATCCAAAGAATGTATTCAAATGTATACAGTGAAAGGACACTACAGTCAGGAAACATAGCCTTGCCCTGTTTGGAATGGATGTATCCACTGGTATATTGACCTTAGTCAAAGCAGCCTTGCATGGGCAGCCACAAACACCACCTCGGGCAGATAACATCACCTCTCCTGCAATGCTTTTCAAGTCACGTCAGTTTATCATCGAGTGTAGGGATGGAAACAAAACTGTCACAGGTGTATGATCCAGGTATTAAGTGCTGGTTTCAGTGGATCCAACAAATGAGCAAGTGAACTCCAGATAGGACCTAGGTTGCAATGCTAAACATACTGAAATGGGAGCAAGCCCCGCTGGACCCAGCGAGATTTCTCATACATCGAAGGGTTGCTCATGTTCTCTTGATGATGTACATAAAGCCCAGTTTGATTTATATCCATAAAATACATCACATGTACAGTTATTGAGATGAGCAGACTTTCAGAGAGTAGATGGCTACATTGCACCTCATGACAATAACATTTAAATTATGTGTGTGTGTATGCAAAACATTTTATTTATTATCTAGCATTCAGTTTTCATTTGTCACAAGATAGTCATTTTAATGGCACTTCGAGAAAGAAGAGTTTGCCTCATAAGCTACACACGCTGAAACTTGATTTTTAAAAAATGCATTTTTTTTTTCTGGAAACAAATTAGAACCAAGTCATTTAAAGCCAATAACATATTCGCCTTAGGTTTCACTTCTTATTGTTCACATGGCTTATTCTGGTCAAGTATCTCTAGGACTTCAGCTATTTTATGCACAGAAATCTGATAAGCATATACGTACATGAAATAAGTATAAGGACACCCTTTAACATTTATCCCTCTAGCATTCTATTTCCAGTGGGCAGCCTGATGATTTTGAGTGCTCACAAAGCAGGGCATGAAAATGATAGCCTTTTCTCCATCACGAGAGATATTCCTCCTCCATACAGAGAGTTCCAGTTTATTTACCATGGATAAGCAGAGAGATTCTGCCACTGAAATGCCTCAAGGGTTTGAAAACATTTTTCTCAGTTACATGTGAAAATAAACATGCAAACAAGAGAACCATTTAGATTGTAACTATTTAGATACAGAGAGCAGCAAATCAACTCCATCTAAAGAACTCTAGGCAGCATGTTGCTCCTATTTACCTATGCCCGTGTTGATGAATCGGTGTCTAGGTAGGTAGGTAGGTTCTATGGCACAGTGACATCTAGGCCACACTGCACCAAGCACCATGTGTATTAGGCAGTTCCTACTCATTTTTCTTTCTGCTCAAGCATAGCTTCCTCCTGTCATCCAACAATCATGTATTTATAGAAGAACCAGGCAACCATGCCTTAAAACGGGTCAGCAAGGTTTACCTCGCCTGGGCCAGTTCACTCCAGCGGAGATCCCTCTGTGGGCCAGATCGCACGTGCGCCTGCGATTTCCAGTGTCTGCGCCTGCGCAGACGTGATTTCCAGTGCTGTGGAAGCGAGTCCTCAGTGGGGACTCACTGAGCGAGCGGCTCAGCTTGGGGTGGCTTATGGGCTGGTTAAACGACACCCATGGGCAGCTTGTGGCCCATGGGCCTTAGGTTGCTGGCCCCTGCCTTAAAATGTGAGAAAAGCATCTAGATTCATGTCTTGACCAAGACATAGAAAGGTCCAGATGTTGCAGACTAGGTTGCTGAATTCACATACAAGCTGGAGAGCAGTTATGGATGACACCCTAGCAACACATGTTCAAGGGTCAGAGGAATGACCCAATGCAAGCAGCTACCATGTCCAATTTGTAGTTGGGGGGCATTTTTCCACGTGCAGTTCTTCTGTGACACTTGACTGTGAAGCAGATATTGATTTGTATTTGAAGAGTGTGCTGTTTGACCTAGTTTTCCTAGAGTTCTGTCATCAATTTAGGAATAATGATCAAGGGTACAGAGGTTCCCTCTGTGCCTAATGGCAAGGTGGGCATCTTTAAACATTGAGGAAAATAGTAGTAAGCAGCCCTTTGTGAAGCTTTGACTTGTTTTACACACAGCGGCTGAAGAAACCAAACAGACCCCATCTCTGTTTCGTTTCAAAACCATGGCAGTCGTAAAATAATTACACATTTTTATTAAGCAGTATTTCAATGGGTTTTTATTATTATTAAACCTCTCTCCTCTTGCAGTTTTCTCATGTTATTCGTCATTAAAAATAAATGATTATTCAAAGCCCTAGGGGAGTGGAAATCTTCCATGGTTGCCGGAAGAGAAATTGTAACAATGATTTATTAGCAGCCAACTTTTTCTGAAGTTATTGGAATGCATTGTAGTCTACAGGATTAAAAAGAAGAAGAAAAAAGAATGGTGTGGTTTCACCATTTAAAAAATAAAGTACCTATAAAAATGTAAATGAAATTTGGGTACAGTATACAGAACCAAGTGATTCCGAAGTACAAGGTTGTTTGCAGGACCAGGGTTAGCTTTCACCATAATGATTTTTACATTCCCTGCTCCCAAATCTAGCAGTGGATATCCTTATAGGCAGCTGGTGGAGATCTCCAGGTGTGCAATGCAACACTCATCTTGTTCCCCAGTGAGTGTAATGGATCTAACAGATATTTATGAGAATACACACCACCATCTTGAGATCACTTGCCACACACTAGAGCTAATTTACTCTGCTTGCTGTGATGAAATAAAAGGACAAGTCATTGTCCACCAGTACTTCACACGTTACTGCATTAATATAACATAGATCTTAAATTGTCACTGTAAGATTATTCAAGTTTGTATATGGCGGGGTCCTTCCTGGACTGCAGGCACTTCAGATTGTAGGCAGAGCATTCAAACATGTGATTCACCCGGATCCTACAATTTGAAGCTATCTATTTAGGAATGGTTGTGCTGTCATGTGTTATTCCTGCAGGCATCAAATCTGTTTCAAGTTTCTGTACTTTCTGAGCATGTAGAAAGTGTAGCAATAGGTAGACCATCCAATCTTGCCATTTTATTTGGATTCTTGCCTCTTATTGCTCTGTTGTTGTTGTTTTTTGGGGGGAATGTAGACTTTGGGCCAACCAGTTGGCTCATCTTTGGCTAGGCTGCGACATAAATCTCCTAAAGACCCACACTTTGCAAGAGAGATCTACCCATCTGAAAAATTTCTGGTCCTTTCATATCCTAGACTAAAATAAAAATAATTGCGCCGGCCCTTCCTCAAACATGTTTGAGGAAAAAGAAGAAGAAAATAATAAAAATAATTGCAAGGATGCCCTAAAAGTCTTACTCATACATTGAAAACCTCTCACCAGAAGAGGGCAGGCAAAAAGTAAATACACCTCTTTTCTTCCCAATCCTAATGCATTCCAGTAGTGCCAAAATCCAGAAATGAAAAAGTTTAAAATAATTATTCAAAGATCTAGGTTTTCCCAATCCCGTTACATTTCTATGACCATATATTTTTTTTATTGGCAGTACACAGGAACATGTTTTTCCCCCAGCTGAGTTGTAGGATTGAAGACTCTTCCCTCCCCACCCCCCACCCCTTTTTAACCATTTAAACCATAGGCAATTAAGGCAAAAGCATGAGATAGCACTTTCAAAAGATCTGGTAGCACAAATCTCTTAATCATTCCATCCGTAAACACTATGGCTGGATCCTGGGACAGGAGCTTCATTTGCGAGGTTGGTGGATGTGTTGGTTGACATGTTGTGCGGGAGGATGCTTTTCCACAGAGGGATGCGGTTTCTGATGAGCCACCTGGGCTGCAGCTGGAGGGAAGTCTTTATCACCCTGATTAAAAAAACAAACACATCAGAATGAAAAGAAAAAGAGAGAACACCTGTCTCATCTGCAAGTTTGTGGGTGTGGGTGTTTGCTCCAGCCTGACATGCCAGAATCTCAGATTTTCTTACAAAGTGTTTCTTGGGCTACAGAATATGAGCTTGTGGTTCGTATCAGCTTGCCCATTTCACAATATAAACATTTACCTGCTGTTGAAATGACCATGGTGCATACAAACTGCAGCTGACCAGATCAGTTAAAATGAGCTGCTCTACAGGAATCTGGCTTAAAATGCAGGTTTTGCACATTTTACTACTTATGAAACAAATGGCTGCATAACTTGGCAAGCTAATGTGTGTGAATTTGCAGTATCACAACGAGAGCTTCCTGGTAGCTGTATCACTGCTGCCCACCAAGTGTGGGAAGACGGTGGCAAAGTCTCCCCATGGTATCCATTTTGTGACTGGTGCCCATAATCTTTCTCTAAATTCAAAATGTACATGCTGTTCCAAAATGGTATGAATAAGGCCATATTCTGCACTATAAAGTGGACAGCAACTAGCCCTTTTCTGACACACAAACACAGAGTTAAATGATGCACTTCATGCAGGAGCAATTCGGGCACCGTATTTTTCGCTCCATAAGACACACCTAGGTTTTTTTTTTTGGGGGGGGGAGGAGCAAGAAAAAAAAAATTCTGCGCGGAGCATGTAAGCGGCTCTCACTTTTCTTGCTTTAAACCCTTCCGTCCCTCCTCCTGCTTCACTGAGAAGCCAGCAGAGCAAGCTGCGCAGCTCTCCCTGAAGCCAGCAGAGCAAGAGCGATAGCTGCGCAGTGGCTCTTGTTCTGCTGGCTTCCCAGCAAAGCGGGATGAGGGACGAAAGGGAGCCCTTACAAGGGAGTGCTGAGCAGAGCCTGGCACCGGCTCTTGCTGGCTTTTCCGGGAAGTGTGGGAAGGGAAAGAGGGCAGCCAGTCAGTCAGTCCCTTCTCCCACCTCACGGAAAAGCCCCCAAGAGCCGTACACACGCTCCGCACGGCTCTTTAAAGGGAGTGCCGAGCAGAGCCTGTATGCATCCCAGATGCGAATGCAGGAGGGAGGCTCTGCTCAGTGCTCCCTTTAAAGAGCCGCGTGCAGCGTGTGTGAGGCTCTTGCTGGCTTTTCTCCCTCCTCGGGGAAAAGCTCCGCGTGGCTCTTTAAAAGGAGCGCTGAGCAGAGCCTCCCGCCCTGCATTCGCTCCATAAGACGCACACACATTTTTTTAGGAGGGGGAAAAGTGTGTTTTATGGAGTGAAAAATACTGTATTTTCTCCATTCCTTTTCCTTTTTGGGTTTTGTCTATCAGACTGTGCGCCTGTGGTCTTACCTTTCAATCTTTGTACGGCACTTAATATATTAGGGACTTTATGTGTGAATGATAAATTAAAAATGAGAAGGGGAGACATCAGATCAAAACCAAAAGCAAGTTGAAATTCACAAGAAGCTGGCAAAGCTTCCCTTGATTTTAAAACAGTTGAAAATTAACAAAGATGGAAACTCACCCTTGCAATGACTCCAGAAATGAACACAGTTGGTTTAGGTGGACTGGAAAATTAAAGAGGAATATTTAGCTATATAACTGAACAGTGCCATTTGATAACAGCCAGAGGGCAAAAAGCCACAACAGATAATTCCAAAGACTTTATTACTCAGACTTTATAATCAATTCAAACGAACACAGCCAGAGACACTCTTGGAAACCAACATTCTCATAGCAATCTCCATGAATGATCTATCCTTGCTGTACTAGTTAATGTACCAGAGGTGCAAACATGGCGGAGTTTGGAAGATTGATTCTTAGATGTTCCAGATTCAAAATTAAATAACGCAGAGGGAATAAAAATGGAACCCCAAATAAGCGATATGACAAGGCAGCAACAGGCCCTTCAGTCTACGTTCTCTGGGGTTCAAGTCATCCTCATCTTTTCTTTGCTTGGTACAATGGGTGGTGGAGAGCTGTGGGTGGGTGGAAGGAACTAGGACTACCTTATCATCTGCTTTAGTGGGAGTTCAAAATGTGCTCTGCAAAGCGGTAATCCAGCTGGGTCAAGTTTTAGTAGTACAGTAAACATAAGGCAAATAATATTAAATCCGCCTTTAAGGCTAACACTACAGTATCAAAATCCAGGAAACCTAGCAATGACATTTCTGGGAAGGATGTCTGATTTACAAACTTTTCAAATTTGTGTTAAGCACTTAAACACACATGACAGTCAGAAAAAACGAATAGCAAACGACGTGTTAATAAAACATGAAATCTAGTTTCTGCACAGTATTTGCTTGCCATGACATTTTCTGAAAGGCTTCATAATGGCAAATCTGAATTTGAATGATTTCCTCACATATTCTCCCTATGACCTTTCAATTTTCACTGTTCTCCGTCGAACCATGAAATTTTGGAGCAGCATTTTTTAGAGAAGCACTTGCAGCCACCAGATTTATCCACCGGCGCTGCTCAAAGTAGTTGTTTGTAATGAAGCCACTTGGGTCAAAGAAGTATGGGCTGGTTCGCTCTCTGAGACAACTTAGGAGACTTCCACGTGAAAGCCGTTTCAATCTAAGGGCAACCTCTCAGGAAAAGGAGGCAAAAAACCCCATTAAGAGCACATGATTCTACCTCAAGTTGGCTCAGCTGGAAAAAACAAAGCTGGAAAAAGCCATCTCTGACAACCAACTGGTGCCCTTCTTTGTGGTCATGAAGGTGTTTTTGAGTCAGTGGATGCCTCTGCTAATGGAAGAGGACAAGTGACTTTTCCGATTCCCTTTGCTGCCTCAAAAAATCAGCTCCAGAGAGTTGAGGAACCTCCACGTCAGAGTGGAAGTTGGCAAGAGGAGCTTGCAGACAGAACGGCAGATTGACCAAATAAATAAATAAATCACCTGCCCTTCTATTAGTGGTAAAGGTAAAGGGACCCCCGACCATTAGGTCCAGTCATGACCGACTCTGGGATTGTGGCGCTCATCTCGCTTTATTGGCCGAGGGAGCCAGCGTACAGCTTCTGGGTCATGTGGCCAGCATGACTAAGCCGCTTCTGGCGAACAAGAGCAGCACACAGAAATGCCGTTTACCTTCCCACCGGAGTGGTAGCTATTTATCTACTTGCACTTTGACGTGCTTTCAAACGGCTAGGTTTGCAGGAGCAGGGACCGAGCAACGGGAGCTCACCCTGTCGTGGGGATTCAAACCGCCAACCTTCTGATCGGCAAGTCCTAGGCTCTGTGGAACCCACAGCGCCACCCGCATCCCTTTTATTAGTAGAGACACTGCTAAATCAAAAGCCCTACCATAAGTGCAAGGTCACCAATTGGATTCCACTCCCTGATATAATTTACTTCCCATGTGTCAGAGCCAGGCTGGGGCCATGACTTATTGGACCTGCATACAGGCCTGGAATGTATGTCTCCAAGCAAGTGTCTGAGATGAGTTACTGGAAGTGAAGGCTAGATGACGCTTGCTTGCTCTGTTCAATATTTTTTTGGGGGGTGCGTGGGACAGGTGACTAGTATTTATACCAGGCCTAGTCTTTCCAGAGCCTTCATATTGCCATCTAATTATAGGGGCCAATTTTGCACATCTGTATTTCCTGAATAAATCAGAGTCTGATTTCTGGTGCAAGACACCAATTCCCTGATTTCATGATATTTGCAGCATCCTGGCATCAGCAGCGCTGCCATCTCTCCACAAATAGCTGCTAAAAATAGAAAGGGATAGAGAAATCCTGACAGCAGTCTCCCCTCCTCCTTCTCCAATCCTCCAGAGAAACAGAAAGGAGGAGGAAACAGGGCTTCATTCTTTCAATTGCTTTGCATTCTGCTGGCGTTTCACGCATAGTGTAACCTACATTTCTAGTATTTTGTAAGCTATAAATGGCTGCTTTGAGGATATATTTAATCTGATGAAAACCAGTTTGACAGATGTTGTTTTGAAGATATGGCATACCATACCTTTCTCTCTAGGCTTTTGTAAATAAATTTTAAAAAGGACTGCCTCCTTTAATGTAGGGAATGCTTGTTTTTAACAAATGCATTTAGCAAATATAAATAGATGCAATTTAAAAACAATAATGAAAACGAAGAAGTGCCACTATAAAACCTAAACCTTCAGAGAGAATATTCTCATTTCAAAACATCATAACATATGGGAAGAAATCCAACACCTGCTTATGATGAAATGTTTGAAGCACTTGGTGCTTCTATTAAGAAATGCACCTGCTGAACATTAATATCTTCAAGGAGTTCATTTATTCTTAATCCTATAATATGGAATTCTAATATTTCATAATACTAAAGCTTAAACAAGGCAGATATTGACATTGCGGAGAACTCACACAGAAGACTGATTAGTTGAAAAGGCCACTAAACCGGTGAAATGAGATATGAGGAATACTAAAAAGTGTTTTGACTTCATCGTGTAAGATTTGAGGTCTTTAGTTTCATTATTATTCATTATTATTGTTACAGCGCTTCCATCTCACTTTATAAAGTACTCACACACCACTCTGAAGTCTGTTCAAAGTAATTCACATACACCATTGCAGTAATCTTTACAGCAACTATACGGTAAAGGTACCCCTGACAATTATGTCCAGTTGCGACTGGCTCTGGGGTTGCAGCGCTCATCTCACTTTAAAGGCCAAGGGAGCTGGCGTTTGTCCGCTTCCGCAGACAGTTTTTCCGGGTCATGTGGTGAAACCAGAGCAGTGCACAGAAACACAGTTTACCTTCCCGCTGGAGCGGTACCTATTTATCTACTTGTACTGGTGTGCTTTCAAACTGCTAGGTTGGCAGGAGCTGGGATCGAACAATGGGAGCTCACCCCGTCGCGGGGATTCGAAGCGCTGACCTTTTGATCGGCAAGCCCAAGCGGCACAGTGGTTTAACCCACAGCGCCACCCGCGTCCCCAACTATACAGTAGGCCAGTATTATGTGCTTATATATTCTCTCTATATGTGGCATTGTTATTTGGATATGAAATGGGGTGTCTGGAAATGCTATGTCCCAAAATAAGCAAGAGTGTGGGTTCACAGATCTCCATGGAATTCAGGGAAGAAGGACAAAATAGTTAATTATTATTTTTTTAAAAATAGTATGTGCAAATTACTTAGGGAAATAACCCATTGCTCATACCTTTGTGGAAAACGGATAGTGGATCAGATGAAACTTTAAGTGTAAAAATACTTTTTAAAAAAAGCACAGGGGAACTGTCAATTTTTTTTTTATTTTTAAAATATGGATTTCCCCTCACCTGAGGGAATGTAATAAAAACCATCTAGTTGCTTTGATAAATCTGTAAGCAGGCACCAATCCTATAGGGTCCAAAGAGTGACTCTAGCAGGGGGTTTCTTCAGCTTTTTTCTGTTCAACCTTCATTCTATTGTTTTCAATATTTCACCTGATCGATGCGACTTTTCTAACGAGTGGTCCTGAAGGTAAAACAGGTTTGAAATGCTTTGCTGCCACGTGCTGATAATTTGCTTCTCACATATCAAATTCTTCGCTAGCAGATCGGCACAGAATCAAAGCATTCCAAAACACTTTGCAAGAGGGAGGGTTTTTTTGCCTGGCAAGGCTGAAAATGTGCAAGGATTTCCACAAGATGGCACTGCTGATCCTCCGAACTTCGCAGAGAGGCAAACAAGCAAATCCTCGTAATTTCGGAACACGGAGTTGCAAATAATGGAATTCTTTGCGATGGGGGGGAGGACAAAACACGCTCGTACATACGTTTAATTCATAAAGATGTCAATTTGGAGAGTTCAATGAATCTCCTCCAAGGAGCTCCTGGTGATACACATAAGATTTCTCATCTTAAATCCACAACAGCCCTGAGAAGTAGGCTGGACCGAAGTCTCATTTATAGGTTCAAAGCACAGTTATGGACATAAAGCATAAAAGGACAGCAGAAAACTACCAATGCCACCGAGCAGAAAGTTATGAAAGGATTTTTCATGCAAGGTTCCTGACTGCAGGGAGAAGTCTATGTGGGTTTGCCACAACGTCGTCCCCAAAATTCCCATGAATATTTCCAGCTCAATGTGGAAATGCTGGGGTAGGTGGTTAAGGGCAGGGATGATGGGACAGGGCTGCCAGTTGCAGCCCAATACCCCTTCTGCATTTCATGGTCACACATGGTCTTTGAATGAAGGAACAGAGCTTCTGAGACTGGGTGAGTGGGCATTGGAATACAGTGGACCCTGGGGTTATGTTACCTTTGGGTAACGTAACTTTCGGGTTGCGAATGCGGCAAACCGGAAGTGTATACTTCCGGGTTTCACCGTGCATGTGTGCAGAAGCGGTGCCTCATGTTGCGGACTTACTGGGGTACGTAAGGAGCCCTGGAACGAATTAAGTTCGTATCCGGAGGGTCCACTGTAATTATTTTTTTTCTAGTATACCGTATTTTTCGCACGATTGGACGCACCGGACCATAGGACGCACCTAGTTTTCAGGGGGGGAAATCAAGGAAAAAATATGATTCCCCCCCCCAGCTCTGGGAGCAGTGGACAGGCTGCACGCAGCCTGTGCGCTACTCCAAGACCTTCTC